GGGCAAATACTAACCAGAATGGGAACAAAGTGAATAATTAAGGAAGAAGCTAATTGTCCTGACACAGCAGATTATCTGACCATTTTTCAAATGGATAATATAGCGTGGCTAAAATGAGCTACACCGTGACTAAATGATAATATATATTTATTTATATATATTACATTTATATTTATTTATCTATTTGTTTATTTATTTATGTATAAATTATATATAATGCAGCAGAGTGCTAGAACGCAGCAATAATGGCTTGCTTCCTCCTATTATGTGCACGGCGAGTCAGGACAGAATTCCACAGAAAGGTTAGCTGGCCCTTCATTCGCGCAATTTCTCTAGAATTAGCCAGCTGTAGTGCTCCACCACGCATTAGGGCAGAGATGACACACCGGATCATCTCACAGTATTTCTGGTGAGTTTAGCTACTCTTACTGTGCGTGGCTCATTCCAGCGGCACACAGCAGTACACATGATTTTTTGTGCTTCTTTGAAACGTAAAATAATATTGGGATCAGGGTCGCCATGAGCTTTTGATTTGTTGGCATGCGAGCATTCGCGAGCTTGCAACCACTTGATTGCGTATAGTACTAGTATGATTGCAACGCGTGCTTTTGTTAATTGAGCCGAAGGCTTGCCCGATCCTTTAGATGCTAATCTTGCCTATCTGCTGACGGAGTGCTTGGACATCTATTAAATTTTGCCAGTTTATGTATGACCCAAGAGCTATTTACTGAACAATCAGGTAACTGTTTGGATCATTAGATAGTTACTGAGGCATAAACTTGGCCATTAAACAAATGCATTGGCAATTAAGACTTTATGCAGGCATTACCCAAGCAGCAGCAGCCGGGGCGTCCCTCCCAGTGTAATGGTGCCAGTATCACATCTCGCCGTGCGCCAAGTTCCCAAAGAGCTTCGTAGAAGTTGCGAACCTCGCAGTGTCACCGCCACACCGTGACGCAGGCTTAGACCTGCGCGGCACCTGCACCAGGTTTTAAGTAACGCATGACTGTGCCGCGGCCTGCGCCAGCGGCACAGCACTCCGTTTCACAGTCTCTTCAACCTTCGCGCCTTTCTGAAGCGGGTCCCATGCCTTCCAGGAACGCTCCCCACGGATCCCAATGCCTTCCCTCGGAGGCGCCATATGAGGAGCCGATACTTGTCCTCCCCCTCCACAGTCTGCAAGCCACCAAGCGAGCTGCCGACAACCAACGGCCTCCACACTCGGTGCCCCTCACCCTGAAGGCACTCAAAAGCGTTCCCTCGACGCGGGATCTTCGCCCCTCGAGTTCGGCTGCCTGCAACTGCACGCCTCCGGTGCATCTTCCTCCGGAGCGCCAACCCAATCGGCTCCATCGGCTCATCCCTGCCAAGAACCGGCAAAGCCAAGGGCGCCGTGCCTCGGCATTCAAAGCTTGGAGATCGACAGGGGCGAAATGGGTTACGCGGGTGGGCCCCGCTGTGGGGCGGCGCGCATGGTGCGGATGGCGGCGGCTCTGGCGGCCCTCCGTGCGGTGCTGTCGGTCGGCGCAGAGGCGACGGGAGGGCAGTGCTTCGCGAAGAAAGGTGACTGCGCTCTGACCGTGCTTGACCGTGCTTTGGCCTTTGCTCAGCCGTTTTGACCGTGCTTTGAGCTTGCTTTGGCGGCGCTTTGACTGTGCTTGACTTTGGCCGGTGAGCTTGGCTGATGGCTGAAATCTCGCCTGGGCCGCTGGGGTCCGCTTCACTCGTTCTCCGGCTGAGGGCGCGAGCCCGCTGATGGATCTCTCGATGTCCAGCCGATGGGGAGGTTTGGGATCTTCGCGCGTCCAGAACGATTGTCAGGGTCGCCTTACGGTCGCGTACCTTGTTCCGCGCGGCGCCAACTGCTCCCCAAACAAACTGAGTTCGGGCGAGCCCTGCGGGGTGTTTCTAGCGCAGTTACGGTGCGCAACCGGCCTGAACCCCCCCCCCCCCCCCCCCTCCACGCCTGAGGGCTGCGGGCCCCTTGCATCTAAGATGCCCGCCCTCGGCCGTCCCTGGCATCGACGCCCGAGCGCCCTTTGCGCCCGCTTGACAGAATGCCCATCCCCAACATGCCGTCCGCATCTGACGACCGCCCACGACCCCTGCAACCCCAGCCCCACCGCGCTGCAGCGCTCTCAGCTGAGAGCCGCGACAGTCCGTTTCCGGGAGCTTTCTTATCATGGCTAAGCTTTCCAGGCTTTTCAGGCATTCCAAGCTTCCCAAGCTCTCCAAGCCTCGATGTGCCGTGGGGACTCCTCACAGAAGTTCGTTTGGCTGAGACACTGCCGAGGCCTTCCGTTTCGGCTGAGCGGCCTGACCCCGTCAAGCGCCGCTGCTGAGATGTCACAGCGCAGAGGCGGGCCCCTGTAACGCTTGGCCGAACCGCGGTGGCGCTTTCAGGGCGGGTGGGGCGGGTGGCGTGGTACCGTGCCGAGGAGTACGGCAAATGGGGCTTGCTTGCGCGGTAGATCCCAGAGGTGCATCCGTGCTGGTCACATGCTTCATCGGAGGAATTTGCATGTGGGTTCGCTTCTGTACACGTGTGCGCATGTTGGTGTGACCTCCAGTGGCCTGGGCGGATGCGGCTCTCTTCGCAGTGAAGTTCATAGGGAATTTTGGTCGTGACAGTGCGCCAAACAATGTGGAATAATGTGAAATCAGCTTGGATCCTGATTCCAGTCGAAATCCAATCGGAATCCAATCGGAAACTGAATTCACATCGTTTGGGTAATTTCCTATTTCACATGCATTGGTGGATTGTTTTTGATGCCGCAAAGCCCTGCATTGGCACCGAAGCGTTCATGTTGGCAACCTTTGTGGCGAGTGCCAACGCTGGCTCGATTTCGATGTGTGGGCCTGGCGCGAGCCTGCGCAGAATGAAGTCTGTCAGCCAGGAAGAAATCTTGGTGCCCGCAAAGCCTGCCAAGATTTCATGCCGTTGGTGGCCAGGTGCAGCAGCAAGAATCAGACTGGTTTGTTCAGCCAGTCGGGCTTTCTTGATGTTGTCGTGTGTTGATTTTGCAATATGCCGATGATGCACTGCTGACATGTTGTAGTTGATATCGGCTGTCCCATGGACAGCCGATATCAAAATTACAACATAGACGTTGTCCATCATGATGCTGAAGGTCAGCCCGAACCCTGCACCAGAAGAAAAAACGATGTTGAAAGTGCCAACTGCGATCCCATTTAAACATTCAATTAGGTTAATTGAAGCCACCACAGATATTTTGATGCCATCGAAATCACTAATACTGCGATGGCATCGCTCAATGTTAGAATGGCATCACAACTTGTGCCGCCGAAATTGCTGTCAGCGGGTATGCCGTGTCTGTCTCTTACCGAAGCGTGTCCCAGCACTCAGGCCTGCTGTGAACGTATGATTAGGTATCTATTCACCGCAAGCGTCGGATACCCTTCATTTCCTTACCTGGAGTCATGAAGGTCATGGAGGTCATTCCGGTTTCAGAAGGTGGTGAATTTTGATGCTTTGTGGGCTTAATACCCTCCACGACCTTCATGACGCCCTCGTGACCTTCGTGTCCGTATACGATAAGTACTGGAACGTCCGCATGCACATGTGTGTGTATAGTTGCGCGTAGCTGCCAATAATCACGCAGAGCTATAAATTTCCTGCATTCGCCCGTGATTGTGCGCCACCATGATCCCAAGGAACTGGAGTGCAACCCGGTTTGCCCTTGCTTTGTTGAAGCAATCTTTGCTCAAATGTACTGGGAATCAGCTACGGGTGGATTGGTAGCTAGCTCCTGCTGAAAAAGAGCAGCGTGATTGTAGCGATGTACATGGTGCTGGGGCTCCAGATCATCGGAGATTCTTGCGTTCCCTAGTGCGCTGTGGCGGCCGGACGAGCTAGAGCGGGTAGTGAGCGACAGCTTATTGGATGATGTGATCGTCCTGCGCGAGATGGACCCGATGCCGTAAGTGCTGAGCGAAGCAGCGAGCTGGAATTGTCAGTGCACTTTGCGGCATGAGTGCTTTTGATCAGACGCGAATGTGCGTGGCCATGCGCGCAAGTTTAGAGTTTCGGGTATTCAATCACAATTGCTCTTGAATATGCTTTGGCGAAACATTTTTTTCTCACCTGTTGTCTCATTGTGGCGCAGGCGTGCTGGGATTGACTGGCGTCGGTCTCCAGGTGAGCAGACACGAACAATTTTAAGAGCATACAGTTTGACGCAATGGAAATTTTGTTTCCTGAAAATAACTAACCCTTTTATTTTTATTGCTCAATTCCGCACTCTGTTTTCTTTGTTTAAATTTCTCTGTTCCGAGGGATTTCAGGCTATGGGGACTGGCGAATTTGCAACAAACGTGTAGTGCAACTTATTGAAAATGTCAAAATAGCACATGGCTAACGTTCAAGCCTAAGCAAAACTCACAAGAAGGGCTGATATTGTTGAGCTTAAGTTACTCATCCAAGAACCTTAACTGATAAAACCACACGAGCTATCTGCATTTCTTCATGTCAGGAATATTTGGGTCCTAGATTTGCTAAAGAAGGGATACCACTCCATGCGGCTGTTGTCATTCAACTGAATAGATCACACCCTGAAGAATCTAGGCACCACACTGCGGAATTTAACAGCCTCAGGTCGCTCCACGAAGCTGCTTCTATTTACCTGAATAGAACACACACATGGTAAATCTAGCCAATGCTATTTCAAATTTGTAAATCCTAACCCCTCTTGTTAGATTGCAAATTGCTGTGCTGTTACTGTTCAGCCGAAAAAACGCTTTGCTGCAGCGAATACACTCGCCTATACATTGCATTCAAATACACATCATTTTGCATGTACGAGAGCACTAGAATAGAGAACCCTTTCTGGCGCAAATCAAACACCAAACGCGACTTCGCTCCGTTCCCGCGGGAACAGGTGACGAAGGACATATGCCCAACGGAATTCCTCCCCGTTGCGAATATCTTCGATTCGAACACTCATGAGCACAGCTGCACTGGCGTTCTTATCGAGGAGGATATGGTGCTGGCGCCGGCGTCTTGCGTCTCCAGAGAAAACTACTTCCCATCGGTGAGGGTCGGCAGCTACCATCTGAATCGGGACGACAATCCGGGCGAAGACGAGGTGAGGCGCGTTTCCTCGATGGATCCCTCTGATTTGCAACTGCGCTTATTGAAATCGGGGGTTTGTGGTTGGTAGGTCCAGCACTCACAGGCTTTGCGAGCACAGACCTTCGTTATATGTCAAACTGCCATGGACAATGAGAGCCGTTTTGAAATTCAGCAAGCGTAGAAGTTCTGCACCTGTCAGAGTCTGGAAAAGAAACGCGCCGCTGAGTCAGCAGTGCTGATACGCACGGCGCGGCTTTCGGCTTAGGTCAACTTAACTTCCAGTACACTTCTGACCTACTCCAACTCCCATTTCATTCCAAAATATACCTATTTTCGTCATTCTCTTGCTAGTATTCCTTGCTCATTCCGCTTTGAATTACGCGAAGGCACCCTGCACAGTTCTTCAAATGCTTGCGATGTCATTCCGCATAAATGAAAGCGGTAAGCAGATTTCCACGTACGCATTGGCGCACTGCAACGCATTCAGATAAGTCTTTGCGATCAACTCGAATGGACACATTTAACTCTGCGCCCGTGCATTTTCAGGTCATCCCCGTGTGCGAAAAAATCTTGCACGGCGGCTTTGACGGAGACGAGCGCAATGGAAGCGACCTCGCGCTTCTCTTGCTCCAACGCCCCTCCTTCCGAGGGCACGTGGGGAATCCCATGTCCGCTCAGGACTGCAAAGACGGAGACCTGGTCGCCTTGGCGTGGTTTTCTCCAACCGCCGCTTCCGGCCCCTCAGAGCACCTCGAGGCCGTGCCTTCAGTGAAGATCATGCCGCCGGGGGCGTGTGGCGAGGAGGGGAGCGGCATCCCGGATGGCACAATGTGCGCTTCGGTTGAAGGCGATGGGGAATCCGCCACGAAGCGCAACATATGTGAGTAACGCTTTCGTCAGTAGGAAACGGCATTTTGGGGAAGCCAAGTTGATGTCATTTTTCATTGCCATGACTGCCATGACATGCTGCCACGACATATGCTTGCGTGCCATCGGAATCAACGTGACCACTTAGTGTCAAGACGGCATCAATGTCGCCATCCCCCATACGGCGCTTCATGCTAGGGTTGCTTTTGGACTTCCGTTGGGTCGGTGTGGGTGCAAGACTCGGAGTTTTGTTTGGCCAGTTTGGCAAATTGCAGTGGATCAATGTTCCGCGCGGGGTATCACACATCAAGCTCGACGGCGTTTGGCTCACCGGTGCAAGAGACAGGTCGATGCAGTGCATTGGTGCATTGAAACTTTGTGGACACCTGATTCCCCAATATTGCACAGGGCCACGGTGGCTCCCTCGATTTCCCCTAGTGAGTATTGTGTAAAACTTTCCATTACTTGCTGTTTGTTTTATGTGCCGCCAACTTGTATCCTCATTTATAGCAATTGATACTTGTCCATTTCGTGTATATTTGATGAAGATCGTGCATCAGTTGCGCACATCGCAATGCAATGGACAGAATGCCGTAATAATAGCTTTGCTATAGAAGTCCTTTTCGCTATCGACATTGTTTTTGCTCCACGCCAGCCAAGAGCCGCCCCCAGCTGTCTTCAAACTGTGAACTTCTGTGCTCGTGTGACTTGCGTGGCAGGGGGACCCGGCGCTTTGCTGTTCTGCGACTTTCAGCACATCGTCGGCATTGCCTCCTACAGAAGCACTGATTCTGGGAGTGACCAATTCATCTACACAGACGTTCTAAAGTACCAGAGCTGGATGGAAACCCGGGAAAAGGGGGCGTCAAGGACCACCGAGAGCGGCGCCCCAGCTTGCGCGAATCGCAAGCCTGGCCAGGAGTCATTGCATGACCCATCAGAGCTCTGATCAGAGGTCGCGGAATGACGGTGGAATGACCACCGCATCGTCATGTGCAATGATGTCATCATGTCGCAACGTGACGCGACTTGACGTGGAATGATGTGGAGCTGTGAGGCCGAAGTTCTGAGCAGAGGCCGTGACGTGGAGTTGATGTCAGCACATAATCGTGTGATATGACTTCAGCACGTCATGACCTGACGTGATTTGACGTGGGGCGATGTGGCGCTGTGCGGCCGCGGCGTTGCGTGAGAAAAGCGCAGCATTGAAAAAAAAACATTTCTTCTGCTTAAGTGTTTGCGTGGCTTGGCAGCTGTATATGCGCTGGTCAAATACATTGTACACACTGTACATTATATACAGTATATGCAAAACTTTTACTGTATACACAGTACAGTGTGTACAGTACGCACTATGCACAGTGTATACACAGTGCGTATTGTGACGTGGTGGGAACATTGAATTCACTTAGGCGGACGCTCAAATTGATGTCCCTAAAGACATTGCCTGCGGCAAATTGTATGGCATCTGCAACACTAATACGAACAGCGCTCCTGACGCTGCCGAAAGCAACTAGGACACGTCATGAGTGTCGCGGAGAGTGCGTTGCTGTGAGAGCGTCACTACAGTGAAGGGTTACCATAGGCAACGCCAGAAACATGGTCCGTGTCAAGAACACTGCTAAAAAATGGGCAAAAGTACACGGTCCAGAAATTCGTGTACCGTGTTGGGCGTGTCAAAATGGTGTAAAAGTCATGTGCCCATCGTGTACCGATCGTGTAATAATCACAAAATACACATTTGCCGCTGGTACACTGTCGAAATCGTGTGAAACCGTGTGCTTTGTCGTGTTTTCCATGGTGGCAAGGTGGACGTGTTCACTTTCGTGTACTACACAGGGCTGAAAACTACACAATTATAGCAATCGTGTAAAATCGTGGTCTGAAGCACCCGATTTGTACAGGATATTACCACGACTTTGTCCAATTTTAAACAGTGTAAAATGGCCGAATTTTTACCAGTGGAATAAAATTTTACACACACACATTTTCGTGAGGATATCTGTTGGCAAGGCCACCGTGAGCCACTGGTTGTTCAGGGTGTCGAAACAAGAATCGACAGTCAAAAAAAGACGGTAGGGTAAATTCCATATCGTCCGTGCCAGTGTCATGGATGGTGTTAAAAGTGTCGCCAAAAGTGCCTTCTTGGAAGATCATTTGGAGTGTCCGTGGCGCCAATTCGAGAGTGCACAACACGTCCAAAAAACGCCTTGTTCCAGTGGAATTCCACTAGCGCGCACATGTGCGCATGTGCCACCACGTCATTTCCAGGGCCATCCAAGCCCTCACAGTTTTGTCCCCTGAACAGGCTTGGTTTTTACGCCGTAAAAACTGATCGTATTTACGTTTTTACGCGTAAGAAACAGTTTTCACGTTTTTGCGTTTAAAAATGCGCAAATACAACGTAAAAACTGTCTGGTGTGCATAAGAACAGTACATGCAGATTTGTGGAGCCCGGAGAGCGGCAGCCAGACGCCCTGCAAGAGGCAGAAGACGAGTTTTTGTTAAACCCCATCATCGCCCTTGCCAAGGGCGATGTAGACATTGCGCTGCGGGCGCTGGAGATGGCGGAGCACTGATCATTGTACGCAACGTTCATCGTGTAGACTAGGTGTCGCAGGGACTCGCAAAAACGTAAAAATAGCCGTAAGAGTAGTTATTTTTGGAAATTTACGTTTCTGCGCGTAAAAAAGTAAAAGTAGAAACGTAAACGTAAACGTAAAACCAAGCGTACCCACGAATATGGAAACACCCGGTCCCCGTCCACAATCAAGCCAAGCACAGGGCAGCTGTGCCCATACTGAATATGTGGGCAGTCCCATACGTCGATCCTCCAGATCGGAATGCTGCAATCCCTCGACCCCGGGAACAGCAAGTCGCACCTGGCAGCTAACAACGTGACGCCTTCTTGTGGCCGTGAAGCACAGTGAAAAACTCCCACGTGGCCCTGCTGCACACATGAATAGTCCTGCCCCAAGAGCCAGGTGCCATGTAGCCACCCCCCACCGCCAGAGCCTGGCCCGTGTGCCCCTCCAGCAAATGCTCGAAATCCCAATCCTCCCAATCCTCCAGACAAGCACGATGCAATCCTGGGACCCTAGAAACAAAAACTCTTCGTCGACCAACAGCGCCCGCACTGGATCCCTGTGCACGTTCAGCTTGACCTCTATCGCCCACTTGCCCATCCTGCAGACGCTGATGTATTGGTTCTTCGCCGTGGCAAAAAGCAAGTCTTCCATCAGTGCCAATGACTCGACCTCTCCAGCGCGCATACGCAGCCCGACAGTGGCCTTCCGTGACTTCAATTTCCACAGCCATATCGTTTGGTAGGGCCCACTGGCAAAGGGCACCTCGCTGTTGGCCGCCATGTAATGTATCTCTTGCGCAATTCCAATACAGCGCCACGGCTCAACAAACGGCACTGTGGCCATATTGTACACACGTATGGTGCCATCTGCTGAGCCAGATGTCAACAGGTCATTCATCACCGCAAGAGATGTCATTATCTTTTTTGTGGCCTTCAAGGACCATAGAGCATTTCCGCTTTGGACCAGGACAATCCTCCGCAACTGGCTGAGTAGGCATCTGGAATGCATCACGGCACAACGGCTTAACGCTGATGATCACAGCAACCTCGGGTTTATGTTGTGTGCTCTTTGCTGAAACCGCAAACCTTGATTGCCAGGGATCTAACAATTAGCAACTTCTGAGCCCTGAGTTTGGACTAGTTTAATGGTTTAGTGTAACCACTAGGCGTTCAGTGGGGTTCAGGGTACATTAATGACTATCTCATCACACATGGCAGTAGTACTGATAGAACGTCGCTCCAGTAAAAAGGATGGACAAGCCGTAAACGTAAAATGAACCTTGCTGTCCTTGGCAAGGATTCTTTGCTGCAAAACTCTGCATCTCTCCCATGCATCCATCATTTGCGGCAAAGCATTTTTGGTTGCAGTGCGATTTACAAAATCTGTAGGCATGTGCACATCTACACATCCACCTCTGTATGCACATGCATATGAATGTATGTGCATCAGTATACTGCACAACTGCACGCAAGTGCATCTGCAGCATCACAGCATATCCGTGCTGCCACGTGGACTTCCACTTTCCTGCAGTGGTGGCCACCAACTGGATGGCAGAAGTAGCCCTATTCCCTGGCGCAGATTCTCTCCAAAATCGGGGCCAAATGTCGATGCCACATCATGCCACGAGGTGCCAGGCGATGCCCGGCCTTAATAATACTTTGGTCCCCGTTTTGGGTCACTCCAATCTGTACATCTTGAAGGGACCCTGCCGGGGATTGCACCCGTTCATTTCTGCGGGTGGACAACAGAACCCTTGATGTTTTGCTGCTTCCTGAACACATAGCAAGAAACGCCCTTGCGCAAATTTTGCCAGTGGCATGGTTCAGTGCAGCCATAAATGGCAAAAACTCATTGAGGCATCTTGCACAGTCTGGAGGTGGGTGCTGACGATATATTGCTATTGTAACATTTATGTTATATATCACATATTATGTACAATACATAGTTTAAAATGCATAAAAAGCGCACACTTATTTGTCAAGGGCAGGGCTCAATCACAAATTCCAAACAAACAAGCAACTGCCGTCAAATGATTTTGCGGTTCTGTTGCTGCTTAGTTGCTTCACTGCCTTTCAGTGTATCACGCATGCTTTAGCGGGATCGATGGCATACTTTGAGAATCAATTTTTCCTACTTCGAAATGTGTATTCGAAGTATATGCTTTTTTCGTCATCATTCTGCTTTGTTGCGGCGCAGCTACCCGAAGCTGGTGGGGTTTTCTGAGGTGCAGAAAAGGATGGTAGCAAACACCCAGAACCTGGCAGGTCCTCCGATGAAGGGCTGTCCATGGTGATCCTCCTTTGACACATGTGAGCAATCAATTGACAGAGGTTCGACTAATCAGTTAAGCTGCAATCGAATAATTCGAATTGCCAACCCAGCGGCACTTCAATTAACCTTTCAGAGCTGACCGCTGACATATGGAGTGCAAACTACATGGGAATCCAAGAGCGCCGCTGTTCATTGCCGCTGTTTTTGTTTTTACGCTGCTTGCATTTTGGAGAAAAAGGCCAAGAAATGCAACCGTCGGAAGCTGCGAGACAGTAGCAATCTTACTCAGCACTTAGTTGCAATCTTTGCCATGCAGCCCCGGAGCTGCACCTTCCTTGCGAAACATCCATAGACTAGTGCCTTGGATAAAAGACTATATCTGACACGATACCCTGGCTGTACCCTGGCTGGCAATGCATCGTCAGAGGTGTGCGTGACCAGTACATGCTCAAAATATGGACATACATTGCAAAGGCTGGCGATAGGACATGCGCATTTCCCATACACATTATTTGAAATCTTAAATATGTAACCTTCATGCGTTGACCACGCCACCGTTCAGGCTCGATGGCAATCTGTCAGATCCGATATCTCTCAGCGCAATTTCAAAGCGAATATTTCAGACCGCAGGCACTTATGCAAATGCTTCTCTGGGTCTGAGGCCACTGTGGAATGGTCTCGAATACAATCTGGAATTCCCAAGCCAAATGCAACAAATTTGGGAAGAACACCAAGCGCTAAGCCTAACAAACCCAAGAGACATCAAAAACCTTGGAAGAAATGGAAGAGCAAGGATAGGTGGGCAACATCCTATTTAAGAAGCTCTGCACTTCACAGGGAGGCAAGAAGTATGTGATCTACGCTCAGCACCATGTACAGCGCAGCTCCGCCAGTGTTGAATTACATAGTCTTCAATATGCCTGCCTGCACTGCGTTGGCCACCAGGTGGGTGCAGCCCACAAGAATCAAGACAGCCTGGGACCATTGCAAACTCAGGTCGATCATTGCGCATGGAATTATGATGCCTAATATCGTCCCGCAAGGGACACAGTACGATGGCAGTATTTTATCCTTATTGGAGCTCATGCAGATGCACGCAGATTCACCTGCACAGCAATTGGAAGCCTGGAAACTAATGTGAAATCGCCTGAAGAGCGCATGGCCATTCACCGATTCGATACATTGTTGTGCACGAAGTACTGTGGGCGGCGACTAGGACGACATTCAGATTAAAAACTATTCAGAATCTGAAAGATCAACATACATCAGACACCTTCTGCACCACAAGTGGCTGTGCAGAGGCATGCAGAGTACATGGCAGGTATCTGTTGTCCGCGATGCATAAAATACACTGCAGTGTGCGCACAGTCAAAGTACTGAAGCCATTCGATGCACCTCTGCAATGATCTCTTTCAGCACTACACTAACTTCCTCCATCGTTGGCCTTTCGTGCGACTCTGCCGCGATGCAGCGCCTTATCAAGTTGGACAGCCTTTCGGGGCATCCCTCTGGAAGGGCATCTCGACCTTTGCCCATTTTATTGTTCTTCAGCATTAGCGGAGCCCCCAGCTTCTTACAAGGAGGAGTGAAGGCAGCAAGCTCAAAGAGGGCCAGCCCGAATGCAAACTCACCGGAAATTTTGTTCAATTTACTGTCTTCGCCAATTTCCCCCTTTTCTCCATGCCTCAGCCTGGCGCCAAGGCGAAGGCGCCTCGAAGTAAATGCTGGGCGCCACGCAACCCTGTATCTGCACTGTCATGGTGGCGCTATTGTACATATTGCACCACGAAAGCGCGACATGTCAATGCACTGTTCACCACTGAGTTGACCTTCCCAGAAATATCCCTGGAGAAGCACGAGACAAAGGCAGACCTTGTTATGTAATGATTCATTACGGTGACAGGCACAGAACCAACGAACCTCGTCGTACACACTAGTAAAAATCGGCCAAATCACATGGTCCTGAAAAACGTGTACCGCGTTGTGCGTGTAAAAATCGTGTACTGATCACAAAGTACACGGCTGCCGCTGGTACGCGGTTGAATCGTGTGAAACCGCCATCTTTATCGCGTTGTCCTTGATGGCGAGATGGGCCATTGTCGTGTACAACACAGGGCTGAAAACTACACGATTTTTGCAATCGTGTAAAATCCTGCTATAGGCACCCTATTTTTACACGATTTTAACCCGATATCGCAAGTTTGCACACAATATAAAATCGTCGAAATTTACCAGTAACACCATGGATCACATAACATACAGTGCAATGCACATCTTTTGTGTGTCAGCACACGACTAATGTACCAGGATGCGAACGGTCCCTCTGTAGACTCTCAGCAGAGTTCGCGCCCGCGCAGCCAGGGCAGTGCTGTATGACAAGTTCTTCAACTCTGCAGGCAGGGGCCTCTTTCTGGTGCCATTGCCCCATGTCGCATAGCACGATGCACGCTTGCTTACCAAGCAACGCCTAATTACCAAGCCGTGCATAATGTACCAAGTAATTACCAAGTAGCACGTAATGTACGAGCGCTCGAACACAAATTCACCCCAGCGGACCGGTGGCCGGCAAAAGCGCCCTAAACGGGAACGCGAACGTGTTCATGAAGTTTGGCTCTCTGACACGGAATCGCAAACGTGTGATCAATGCTCGCATTTTCAAAACGGGAACGTGCACCGCACGTTTGATTTGTGGACACGTTGGGAAGACGTTGCGTTCTCAAGCTTCCAGCGAAACGAGAGTCCAACACAATGGGCTCGTTTCACAGGAAAGGCCCAGGCCTGGGCCTCTGACCCGTGCCTCTGATCCGTGCATCAGGCAACCGGGTCGTTTGGGTGTACGCACGAGGGTCGGTGTGCCCGAACAGGAGGTTGTTGGAGCTTGCAGAACCGACATGCCAACCCCAATTAAATGGAAAAACAACTCAGACGAATCGATAAAATCATACAGTACTGTACCAGTGCTGAAACAAGAAAATGGCTTTGAAGTACACACGACAGAAAAACGAGTGTGCTTCGGTGGCAAACAAAAGGCAAAGTTCCATCATACGTTTGACCTGTCATAACCGGAACACAAACGTGCTTTGTACGTTTGGACTTTTGAAACGGGAACTCAAATGTGTGCCCCACAACTGGACTTTCAAAACGGGAACGCAAACTTATGGATTACGTCTGGAGTTTTCAAACAAGAACGTAAACGTGTGATTCACCTCACGTTGGGGTTTGGCCCCAAACGACAACGTGAACGTGAAAAACACGTTTGCTTGTCCCCACCACATCAGCGGACTATCAGGGAACCCACTGACTAGTCACCAGGAAACAGGCAGACGGCCAAGAAAAAGCGGGCTCCGAAAACAAGCCCAGGCCCCGCACCCGCCGCGCGAGTTTGCCGCTGCCGAGCCCGCCATGAAGCTCACCGACTTCTCCGCCCTCACCTTCGATTGCTACGGCACGCTCATCGACTGGGAGACGGGCATCCTGCAGTCCTTGCGGCCATGGGCCGATTCCCAGTCCCCTGCGCCCACCGACGGCGACCTCCTGGCGGCGTTCGCGGCGAACGAGAGCAAAGTCCAGGCGGCCAGCCCGTCCATGCCCTACCCGCAGATCCTGGCCAACGCCTTCCGGGGAATCGCATCCGATCTGGGGATTGAGGCGAGCGATCAAGATGCCGATGCATTTGGCGCGTCCGTGGGCAGCTGGCCGGCCTTTCCGGACAGCCCCGACGCGCTGGCCTACCTGAAGCAAAGGTACAAGCTGGTGATCGTTTCCAACGTCGATGCGGGTTCTATCCGATCGAGCATTGCCAAGCTCGGCGTGGAATTCGACATGGTCGTCACTGCGGAAGATGCTGGGTCCTACAAACCGGCGCCTGGGCACTTTGATGCCGCCTTTAAAGGCCTGGGGGAGATGGGCGTCCCACGCGAGCGCGTGCTGCACGTGGCGCAGAGCCTGTTTCACGACCACGTGCCCGCCAAGGCGTTGGGGATGACGACGGTGTTTGTTAATCGGCAGAGCGGGAGGGGTGGAGGGGGGGCCACGCCGGCGCCAGAGGTGCCGGTGACGCCGGACTGGGAGGTGCCGACGATGGCGGCGATGGCTGAGCTACACAGGCAGCACGAGGCGGAGTGAGGCTGCAGGTGGCGCCCATTTCAGTCCTCCCCTTGCAGAGCTGTGGGCAAGGGGATGGCCTGCTGAGTTCCTTCATTTAAAGTGATCTGGAATTTTCCAGAGAAAAAAACAGTTGGGTGGATTAAGCCATCACGATGAGGAATGAGGCTCTATTGGTGGTGCGGTTGGCGGAGCTGGGGCAAGGAGATGGCCTGCTGAGCTCCATTGAGGAATTCCTTCGAAAATTGGACAAATGTGTTGAAATATGCCATCGAAAGACAAAACGGCGATGGCCTGACCTTGTGGTTTTGGTGGGAGGGGTTTGTGGTCAGCCATTGGGGAGCTGCACGGGCGGCATAGGGCAGAGTGAGGCAGTGGATGGTGATCCTTTTGGTTGCGAGGTCTGTGGGCACAGGGATGGCCTACAGCGCGTTCTGGGGCTCCGCAGTGAAGTTCTTGGCCACCCGAGGCTACGACAACCACGTCATTGAGCTGCATGGGGTGTTCGACAGCATCGACTGCCACGCCGGGCAGATCGCCATGGAGGTCGAGCGAATCCGCGCAGAGTCGCGCCACGGGCGGCTCGTGCTGGTCGGGCACAGCATGGGCCCTGGCCGCTCGCGCATAGAATCCCTTGGTTTAAATTTGCCTTGGAAAGACAAGCGGGAATGCTTTCGCATCGCGGCTTTTGTTTAATTTTGCTTTAAAAAGAAGAGCGGAGATGAGTTTTTATGGAATCCAAAATATTACCAAAGGTATCTGGGAAAGAAGAGGGGACAGGGGTGCCATTGGGTTTTTGGCGGGAGGGGCTGTGGCGAGCAATGGTGGAGCTGCACAGACGGCCGGTTGGAGTATGGTCACGAATGGTGATCCTTTTGGTGCTGCACTTGCAAGAGCTGCAGGCACTGGGGTAGCCGGCGATGTGCCTTTGTTCAAATTTGCCTTCAACAGACACAGCAGGGATAGGTTTTTGATGGAATCCGAAATATTACTGTAGGTATCTGGGAAAGAAGTGGAGACTGGTGTGCCACTGGATTTCTGGCGGGAGGGGCTGTGGTGAGCCACGGTGAGGCCACGCAACCAGCCAGTGGGGAATGAAGTCTTTGAACACTGCACTTGCGAATGCTGGGGGCTGAGGCCTTGATGGCAGGGACTGCGGCTGAATGAATTTGTTTGGTTTTGCCTTGAAACGCAAAACAGGGCCCTTGCACCTTGCAGGGCCAAGACCTTGCAGGTGGGCGACACCTTTGGGTGCTGTGCTTGTGGGAGCCATAGCCAAAAGGTTTTCATGCTGTGCTGGCAAGAGTTGTGGGCAGAGGATTACTGGGGATGGCTTGGCATTGTGACTTTGGTCGTTGTGGCAGGGGTAGAGCCATGGTGGTGCTGGGCAGAACAGGTTTGCCTTAGGATGCCTTGACTCTCAGCGAAATTGGTGGATGGATGGGGCTAAGCCATGATGGATGGCTTGACTCTCAGCGAACTTTATGTGATATGTGGTGTAAAGGCAATGTGAGGCGAAGTGAGGTGGGAAGTTTGTGCCTGTTGGTGTTTTGGACTGAGGAAGGGGGACCAACAGGCTAGACTGGGGAGGCTGAGTACGGAGATGTGCAGGTACTCCATCGGGGGGCACAAACAGCGTGCACTGGCAGCAACAATGGCATGATGGATGCTATGCTGATTCTGCGAAATACACTGAAGCCGATGCATGTGAATAGTATTGTTGACATGGGTTGAACTCCATACAGGGCCTGCTACCTCAACTGTTGTGGGGTGTCTTACAATCGAAATCTTGACTGGTGTCATTGGGGTGCCGTCCAATTAGCAGGAGGGCCCGAGAGCCCAGGCAGCTGTCTGTGCCCAGGGCAGCATCCTAATGACCCTGCACACCACATGCCTGTCATGCAATGCATGGCCCTTACACATGGCAGTGGCCAGATGATTTGATCTACAGCTTTGATTCCACAGTGTTAATGTACACCCACCCATCCCCACAGCCCTCACAAAACAGAGAGCTGCCCCATAAGGTTGACCTGCAGCATTGCCCCAAGCACCGCCACTCCTCTCTATCGCACCCTCATCGCACATGCGCATGCACAACCCACCGGGCACCATTCGCATCTCCCTTGAGTGAGGGTACGCAGCCACTGCCCACTTAAGCCCTTGGTATTGCAGCGCCTTTGATGTCTTCTTTGAGACAGAGCCTGCTCAAAGGCCCTGCCATCACGTTGCCAGGTTTGATACGTGTTCCTTGGGACAGCCAAGCATGAGCTGCCTGCTCAGGCTTTCCTAGCCAAGTCATAGACATATGCAGTCTTGGTTGTGGACTCCTTGAAAACCCAATGGGCCATCTCCTCGCCTTCCAATATGTCGAAGGCCTTGCAGGCACGCCACGCCACATCGCCATCATAGTCTTCATCTTTGTCCCCATATGTAAAACTGAACTCTGCAATCACAGGCTTCTGGTGGTCGTCATCCTGGTTGTACCACACGCCAAGAGAGCACTCTGCCTCAACCTGCCCATGACCATAAAAGATCAGCTGGTGCAACAAACGTTTAGGTTGCTGTACACATCCATGGTGCACTGGTATTCTTGGATCGCCGAGTTTTGGTCAGGCTGGATTGAGTTGCAGAAGTTTGCGCACTACACACAGTTGCTCTGTTTGAGACGTTGACCAGTCAGTGATGCAGAACGCACGATGCGGATTTGTGTTGCTCCGAGCACAATTTCATTAGCAACAATGCAGATCATTTCATACCAACTGGCAGGCCGTGTTCATTTCACTATACTGACAAAACAGGCATGCTCTGACGACATGGGGGACATGGGGGTGCTCTTGCTGAGCAGTGTGACGCCATGTGTAGGTCGCTGGAAACCTGTTGCAGTCTCACAAGTGGAGTTCAACAGCCACATGACATCGCCAACGTGCTACTTTCATGTTGCCTTCAGGGACACATTGATAGGAACAGGCGTACACAGGGCCTGGGCAATAGTCTCAAACTTAGCCTCACGAGCCTCGTCTTGCCACAGAAACGATCGAACGAGCATTTCCACTGCAACAGCAATGTGAAGAAACGCACTGGTCACAGCATGTGTCTCTATGGAATTCAGATCACCGCACAGCATCAGTTCCTCTGGCGGTTTGCAAGGGCCTCACGATGCTTGACAAGACAGAACACCCCAGAAGAGTACATGACACAGGGAGGTGTGATCGGCGATGGAGCCCCACACCTAAGAAAACCACTGCAAGAGTCTTTCCACACTGTGGAACACCCTACTGAGTGAAACAACTATGGCAGTGCACACATTTGTGGATCGGCCAGCAGGTTATGAACAAGGATTTAAGCCTCAGGAACAATTCACGCAGCCTGGACATGAACTTGGTTTGACATCTCCTGATTCATGGAGTTTGATTTGATTCATCAATGAGAATCCCCAAAAGCTCATTATCTTGTGTGATGTCCTATTGGGAGTTAAAGTGTAAGTCTGTATCTCCAAGCATTCGAGCCATATTGCCCCAAAACTTTTGCTCACCATTTCACAAGCAGGCAGACTCTACCCATTGCATGCCAAACTTGTCAACCCAAAGCAGGCCAAATAACGATAACTAACCTTCGGGTCCTTTCCGATCTGAAAATCTGCTCCGCTGATGACGACCTCTTTTGCAGTGAATCCTCCCACCACCTCTATTTGCACCTCCCCATCATAGCCCTTCACTTTCTTTGGCATGCCTGGGAACAGCCTCCCCAGGTCGTCCAACCGATCAAGACGTTGATCAGCATCAATTCTTTGCTTTGTAGAGTAGCTGAAGACCCTTTGGAAGCCCGGCTTTATGTCCTCCTCGAATTTCGTCTTCCCATTGTCTTTTTCGGCAGCATCCATGTCTCGATCCTGCACCACATATCTGTTGTGGTACCCATCGTCTGTTAGGTCCTGCTGGGCTTTCTGTTCATTCGGTAAGTGTACATCACATTCAAGCATCCGGTGCCACGCCTGGCAGCTTTGCCGCTATCTCTTTGCAACAGATTGCTGGCAGTTTTGACAATGCACAGCCTCAAGGGCCCCTCCCTTAGCTGCGCTCGAATGTAATGCCACCCTTTACCCGTATCACATGCTGGGCATCTGCTCTCATGCTGACTCCTTACTTGGAGCCTCGGACTGGCAGCAACCTTGTCAGTTGCCCAGTGCACAGCACAGAACATTTCCCTTCTTTGGACCATCAAACTTTTCAACTTTCGACCCAGTCGAAGCTATGTTTCCATTGCCTTGACGCTACCTTTTAGACCTTTTGGGCCCTATGTGGGGCACATTTCGACCAGTGCAAGGTACTTTCTGTTCCCTAGAGCTTGATCTTCTGGACCTTTGGGACCAATGCGTGGCACCTTTTGGCATTTTCGCCCAATGCAAGGTACGCCTCCGCACCCTTGACCTAGATCTTTTAGCCTCTAATAGGCCATTCCCTGCTCCTTCCCCTTCCTTGCAATGAAGAACCATCGAACCACGCGCGTGTGCAACCTCTCTCGCCAAAGTCAAGGCACCTTCCTTTTCCGTGGGTCCTTTCATTTACTGGAGGTTCTGGACCCATACGGGAACCACATGCCACATTCTTGGGCAAGTTTCTGGACACGCATGCACGGCAACACGAGATATCGCTTTGTTCGCCGACGCACATTCACAGATCCCGTGCCGCTTACCTGTCGGGGTGCCGGAACTTGAGCGCCACCTCGCGCTTGCCTGGCGCCTGCCCCACCCTCTCCCTGAAGATGTAATCATTCTCCCGCAGCAGCTGCCCCGGCGTGTCAAAGTACCGCACCAGGCGCTCCTTGTCGACCTCACGCAGCTCGCCGTCGGTGTCCACAACGACGTCCGAGACGGCTTTGGAAAAGTCGCTCCAGAACTCGGCCGCCCGTGCCAGCAGGGTGGGCCGGTCGCCCTGGAAGCGAACAGCGCTCAGGAGGACTTTGTATTCGCGAGAGGTGATCCTCTTGGGAGCCATGAGAGCCGAAAGGAGAGGTTTGGCGGTTGTGGTGCTGTGCGGTGGGGCAGATTCAGATTCTCATGGAATGCGCAAGGGATGCGCCATGAGCATGCGGCGGTTCGTCCTTCTCGATGGCGGTTCGCGCGCGATGTGACGTCAGGGGAATTGGCAAGGGGAAGACGCGTTGGAGCCGCAATCAGTTTTGTTATTTGCGTTTACGGCGCCGTTCTCGCGTGCCCTGTAAATAACCAGCCGGCTACCTGCTGATTTGATCTGAGGTTCGGGGGGTCGAGGCGCACCGGCTGCCAAAAAGACAGCAGTCTTAATCTGTCCTGGCGTGTTTCAAGTAAAGAGTACAGCACGTTTTGACGTGCAACATGTTGAATACGTTATTGCAGTGCAACTTGTGCCACAAGTTGAGCGTGTGCCCATCCGGGATGTGCCACCCTCTTCTGCATGGCACCGCAGCTTTTGCCGCTCTAAGTCCCAACGCCTGCCGAGGTGCAATTCCTCCCGCATTTTGCTCACAATCTGAATCTCCAGGGCCCCGGAATGAGGGGTGGTGGGTACGACTCCAACGCCCTAGTGACCTCATGCAAACACGGGTGCACCGTCACGTTGAGGCATAGTTGTGAGTTTGGGTCACTGATCCAGCAAGCTTTTCGCCGCTTCTCCATTTTCCTTGAACATGCCATCCCTTCTTAGTCCCCTAGCGTTTGACAAAAAATATTGCCCGTTTCTCACAGTTTCAGAAATTGCTCAGATAATGTTCGAATGGGACCAAGCCATGTTTATTTCACAGTGTATCTGCGGGCGCCATTTTCCGTTAGCCTAACCCGCAATCAGTGGAACTTCAGCATCACCGTCATCACAATCATCGGCAGCCTAACCTCTCAAAAGGGAACTCAGCAATGTCAATCCACACGCGCAATACTGACAGCAGGTGCTTTCGCGGTTGTGTGGCGCTTCGCACTGCCTTCCTTTCGATGCTTCTGTTCGTCGATGGTGAAAATAGTTTGAAAGGAGTTTCTAGCGGTTTCAACTGGCTGCCGGCAAGAGTCCACAGACACCCATTTGACGACCATTCCAGCGCAGCACTGCTGCGTGAGTTTCACATTTTTCGCAAGAGCAATGATCCATTGAGGTCAAACCCAAGCGCCATTTTCGAAGAGCAGGCAAAAGGTTCCGTTGACCAAGGGACGTGAGGTGAGCCTTCGGGCGAACTTCGTGCAAACTCGTGAAATAATTTCTTCGAAAAGCAATTCCTCACTTGCCTGATCACTTTGAGACCCCAAGAAAATTATCCTTTGTCTGCACGTGCAAACATTGAATCTATGTGAGCGTGTTTACTGAGGCCCGTGGACGAAGCTTTTGCCCGCAAGCTCGCCACGCGGCGTACCCGCACCCCGGCGTTACCTCCCACCCCCAGTTTCGTGACGAAGGAGTGACGCTACCGTCCTCGTCCCCACGCGAAATGTGTCCCCCAGAAATTCCGCGGAAATTCGGTCCCGTGGCGTGACATAAAGCGACCCCCGCGGCCCCCTCGCCCGCCTCAGGTACACGCACACAAAACCGCCCCCTTGGAGTGTTGCGCTGATGGACCAATCCAACGTTGGGCGCTGGGGGCAGATCTGCGTCGGCTTGGCTGGCCTGTCTGGGGCTGCCGCCACCCGCCTCCCACCCCACCCCTCACCCACCCCATCAGCCCCTATCTACCGCTTGGCTGCCGCAAGCAATGCCGTTTGGAGCGCTTCACTGGAGTCACGGCCCCGGCCAGGGGTGGCCGGGTAGCCGCATGTCTACCTTTTTCCACCCATGGTCGCTGGATTGCTCATGACATTGGACCTTCCGGTGCTGTGTGGGCTTGCCCGTTCGATTGAGAGCCGGTCGCCGATGCGCGGATCGGCCCCGCTTTGCAAGAATTTCCCTTCATTCCGTTTACGTTTTTGTGATTTCCTCATGCCGCGTTCGGGTAGTGTGGGTCAGTTCCGACATTCCGATTCCGCGTCGCCGTGGTCGACGCCAGCGAGAGCGCAGGTGACGTGAAGCGGCGGGCTCTGGCGGGAAGTGTCAGTGCCGCTTCGCTGTCCTTGACCCGCTTATCGGGTCAACGTCATTTGGGGTGCACTCATGGCGGTCAAAGGCCGAACTCCCGCTTTGGTGTGGCCACTGTGACCCGCAGACCCTGGCCCAATCAGCGAGCATAAGCAGCCGCTGGCTTCCATCGCTGCATTCACAGAGACATCTGAATGCAGCCCACCACGTTCATGTGCTTCAATTCCTGACCTTTCCCTCTCATCATTGTCAGACAAATCTATCTCCATGTCACTGCCAGAATACTTGCCACCGCTAGAAGCTCCGCCTTCCATGAAAATCGGGTCACAAGAGCTTCCATCATTGTAGTCGCCCTCATCATCATCATAAAAGCTCTTGACCAGCTGCTCTGGCATCACAGCCGATCTCCACTCTGGGCGCTTTGATGCTCGCACTAGCCAACAGGTTGTGCAGTAGCGCCTCAAACAACAGCCTCCCCCTTGCAAATCCTTACCACACGAGCAGGAACCGCACAACGCATGCATAGGGACGTTGCAGCCAAGGCAACTATGAACGCCACAAGCCCCAGCACTGATTTGGCAGACCGGGCACACCAGTCGTGCAGCCATCGCACGCACGCGATGATCACAACAGTGCCGCCATGCTGCAGCGCTGCCACATTGGTGCACTGCCACATCACCACGCCGCCACGCTGCCCCCCCGCCACGCTGCCATAATGCCACACTGCCAGACTGCCACACTGCCACGCTGCTGCACCGGCACGCTGCCACTTGACGCCGTGGCCAGGTGCCGCCACAGCGCCAACAGGTCATTGCATAAGGCCACATTGACTAAAACTACAATTAAATGCATTCAAACAAAGTTAACACAATAGCGCCCGGGCCCCCAATAGCGCCCCTCTTGTGGCCATGTCGCAGGGGGGCGGCTATATAGGGGCCCCTACTGTACTGAGCTTTGCATTCCTTTTTCTCAGAAGTGCTCAGATATGAAACCCCAGGGACAGCCTTTCTGACCCCTTTTGAAGAGAATCGGACTTGGAAGATGGGAAAGACTCGGGAAGGTGGTAGGGCTTGGTGATGTATCTAACGTATTAAGGGGAAATGTTTCATTTCCCTTTAATGGCGGGTTCAACACTTTCTAGCGAGTGCGCGGCTGTTACGACATTCAACCTCTCCATATCAATGTAATGCAGGCAGGAACCACGTCGACTTGCGCATTATGTTAGGAATGTGATGTGGTGGGCGGAATGCTAAAGGCCAGGACCGGCTCTGCGCCGTTCCCATCCATTGCTCAAGATCGGATCACCGGATCGGATCATCGGCCTCTTTTCTCAGGGGCCAGTCTGGTCAGCAAGCGGTGAGACCTTCTGGTCCTTGGAGCCGATTGAGACCCATTCATCTGCTCGTTGCATAACATCCAATATAACATAAATTTTGAAATGGGGGCCAGCATCCACATCCATCCACCATTCCCACTTTCATATTGACGCTACCTATATGGCCCCGCTACCCCGCTACCACCGGACGATCCGGTGCAGTGGCTCCGGGCGAGCCCCTGATGCGAACGCGGCATATAAAAAAGCGCGACGCCGAGTCATCCCCTGAAGCCTCGTTCAGTGTAACCCCCCCCCCTCCGGGGCTGGATAATGTAATAAATGATTGTTATGGAAAGGGGCTGAAGTGCGTGTCATGATAGGCTGTCCAACATGGATGACGCCTGGAAAAACACGATAATGTACACAGAAACCGCGTTAAGCAATCGAGTGGTCAGGTGGACCACCAGTGGGTGGCACCCCAAAGGACCCAGATTATTACACGATAAATCGTGGAAAGTGTGTTAAAAACTGTGTAATTCACAGACGGACTGAGTACCCAGTGGGTACAACCCCAAATTACCCAAAATTTTACACGGAAAACCGTGTAGCATACTTGAGAAGGGGCTGAGTACCCAATGGGTACCACCCCATAGCACCCAGTTTTTAACACGAAAAACCGTGTCATGCATGCAGCAAGCATGCTAAATACCCAGTGGGTAGCACCCCTGAAGGCACGATTTTTACACGAAAAATCGTGTTCCAACTTGGCCTGCAAGACAACAACACGCAAAATCGCGTTAGTACGCGGTGGACAAAAGTACACGATGTCCAAAACTACACGACGGCCAAAAAAGTACACGATCATAAACTACACGATCGCCAAAACCGTGTAATTTTGCCAGGAAAAGTACACGATGAAAATACACGAAATTGTCCACCTTACGTCCATGCACAACCCGATTTTTTACACGATTTTACACGACTTGACCCGTGTACCAGCGCCAACCGTGTAAAATCGTGTAGCAAAGTACACGATTTTTTACACGATTTTTACACGGTTTTGCACGATTGTACACGATTGAACGCCGTGTAAAATTGCCGATTTTTACTAGTGGCCCTTCCCCCCTCTCCCCGCGACACCATGTTTCCACGTCCTGAGAAGAAAAGACACCACTACCGCTGGGTCCCCCCCCAGCGCCTCGTGAGTGGCCCACCGGGCCCGGTGGCCCGGCAGTCAGAACCCCCTGACCCCGCGGCCACTAGACGGTCCGGTGTGGCCGCTCCGGGTGAGTGCATAACGTGTGTGCGTGAAACGAAAAATGCGCCCAATCGAGCAATCGCCTGCAGTCTCGTGCACCGCATCCCCAGGTGTGCATGGGGTTGGGTGGGAAGCCAAAACGATCGCCACGAGAATGGTGTCAACCAGAGTGGAAGCACCTTTTTTCTCAGGTAGGCTGGGCCAAGGTGGGGCACGTTTGAGACCACCGCACACGGGAAGGGAAATGACCGCCACGAGAACGGTCTCAAACAGAGTGGGGGCACCTGTTCACAAGGAGGCGTAGGGTTCGCCTGGCTCGCATGCCTGTGGGGCAGCCGGTCCATCAAGAGCCGTCCCAATCCCAATTGGCAACCGGGCGCAGAGTGGAAGGCACAGCCTACGCAACGGCGAGTTCGCTGGCACAGATCGATGAGCAGGGCGGCAGCATAGCTTGCTGCAGCCCTGGCAGCAAGCCTGTTGCTCACGCTGACCCTCTTTTGGTCACCCCAAGGGAGCCCAGCCTCATGGTCACAGGGATACAGAATCTTATTCGTAAACACGTCCCCTTGCCAACCCTGTCATCGCCAACCGCCCGCACTTGCCCCAAAGGGTTGCGCGCTGGCATCACGACGCCCACGTCACATGATGCGTGGCCCACCAATCGCCGTCGTGATCGGACGGGCATCCTCGGGCGGCATCGCCGCAGACCCGACCAAGCAAAAAGGCGAAGAGCAGAACCACCTCAAGCAGGCGGGGGGGTTGCCAAGCGCGCTTGCTTGGTGCTGTGCCCCTTGGCCTTTATTCTGCTATGGTGGAGGCATTGGCCCCGAAGCTGCAGGGTGGCTTTTCCTAATAGATTAGTCCGCGGATCCTTTTCTTATCCGTGCTGCGCACCGACAGCGTGAGGGAGAGATATGGCTCATTTTGCCAAGTCCCAGATGCCCCCAGATGCGCATTTTAAAGATTGAGACTGATGAGGCGTACGTTAGTAAGCGCGGCTTGCAGTGCGTCGAGTCAGGCGTGTCCGCTGCAAGTATCACGTAAAAAGCAACTAACGATTTGTGCTTTAGCGCTCGCTTTGCGACTCGGTTGCAACTGCCAGGGAGTGTCGCTGTTCTGCTCAAACCATGCCAGAACACCTGCCCTCTATGATTCAGGCCACTGACCAAGCGAGGCACTGTGAAGAGGGCCAGCCTGCGCCCATGCTGCGAAAGTGTTAAGCCCATTGTGTTTGTTGACTATTCGGAGCCTTGATTCCGCAGCGGCGAAATCAAATTTCACTTCAGTGCCATTTGATGGGGGTGTACTACCTCGGCACTTTGTTGCAGCGGCCACACCCTAATCCCTTTCAGCTCGGCATTGCGTCCAGAGGGGCCGCAGATGCAGGGCACGGGTGGGCGGTCTTTTGAAGCGGCGCAAGGGCGTTCCCTCCGATCGCGTTGAAGCTCGTGCCTGATGCGAGTGGCCAGCTGTGTGGTGGAAAGCGCAGTTAGGAGACACGATCGACAAATGGTCGCCTTGCATGTCATGCGGTCAAATGCAGGGCGAGCCAGGACTTCGAGAGACTGATAGGGGCTTCAAGCCGTGACTCCCTTTTCAATGCTGATGGCATTCAGGCGGGCCATCGCCATGTCGTTCCCCTTGTTGACGTCCATCACGCATTCCTGTTGAGGGACTTATTGCCGCCTTCCGATCAGCAAGCGCGCCGCTCATTCACGGCCACCGCTGCGCAAATATGGCCTGGGCGGATGCCAGACGCAGACGCAAAGGCCGTCGAGACGTGGAAAAAGTGTTAAAACGTTGCCGCTGCTAAACTATCAGAGTGGGTTCTTCAGCATTTCTCCTGAAGAGCGTCGTTTCTTCAAGAACAGCTTTAAGTGATATTAGCTGTTCGTCAGAAACGTTGCAATCGCCTACGGCTGTACCAGAATGCTGAACAACGTCCGGGTGCGGGGCTGATGTTGTGCATGCCATACGTTTTAGATATTATCTGATATTTAGCTTCAATTTTGCAGGTTTACCTTCATTCAGCCAGTCGCCTTGAGCTCTGACCCGTATGCCAACATAAACAGCTGTCCTTACACCATGTCGCGCACTCCTTGCAGATACGCGATATTCGTTAGACTCAGTAGACGGCGCCACTCTATCAAGCAGCTACTGAGTCCCCAAACACAGTTTTTGCGCAATGTGGTTTCGATTTTTCAGAGCCAGAGGAGAAGCTACCAAATACAGGCGCCTGTGCAACATATACATTGGAAGAGCAATGCAGTTGACTTGATTTGCAAGGCAAAACCTGTGGCCATCTGTCTGGGAGGTTCTATGCGTACAATGCAGTTGTGCGCAATGTTGGTGCATTCGGTTTGTGACGACGGCAGTTCCATGGAAATTCCGAGTGATACGGCCTTGGCTTGCCACTGGCTGGTTGTTATGTATGATGTACAGTGCCTGCACTCGGTTGACTATCTGCGCTTCCAGATCGTGCAAAATTAGCTGAAGTACACGTTTCTACTGAGAATAGCGCTCTCTTCAGTCCCTTCGGCGGCCTCAACGCCAGTGGCTGCTGGAGTTTAGCTTCCATCGTTACTTGCCCATTCGACTCTAGCATCAGCCAGCTCTGTTGATGCCTGGAGCGCATGCGGGCGTATCAGCCGCATTCCGCCAGTTCAACTCCTTGCCAACATGCCACGGGCGTGTGGGGCAGCGCCCCACCTCGCTTGTTTTGGCCATTTGGTATGGCAACTTGCCACTGGCAAGGGACCCTCGCGGCCTTCGTTGTAGCCATGCAGGTTGATCACATAATCAATGCATTCCTCACGGCCCAATCACTCCAATCCCATGAAATGATACGCAAGGGATGCCATCCACAAATGCTGGAAATACGTTTACAAGGGATTCGCACCACTGACGAAGGCAGGCAGGGTCGAGGGGTGACGGCCCCTGAACGGGAATTGCGCGCTCGAGCCCACGGCCACGGCTTACAGCCAAAAGGAAAACAGACACTCTGTCTTTTATATTCAGGCCATTCATCAACATCCTCAATGCAATTCCTAGTGCTTCATCGTCTTGTCATGCATTCAGTTAATATGAATACTCAATCAGTTCTAGCTGCAACACCACCACATTTCTCAATGCCTATCCAATTCCACTCCAAGAAGTGCTAAGCGAATCCCAATTTATGACTTACCAACACACATTGTGACCATGGTCATCTTATGAGCTCAGAATATCCCCTTCAGAGATCTCCTACCACAATTCGTGGCACCCAGCTTCTGCCATCCCCAAGCCGGGTACTGTACTTCGCATCTCTCCAATATTGGTGCAGACCTTTCACCCGTTGTTGCACCTCATTTTGCAGCTATCGCCGCCAAGCACCGCTCCCTTCGCTACACATTTCCCCAATTGGCCATGGGCAGATTTCACAGCTCATCTTTCATCTCACCGCGGGATTCAATCCAGTTCTTGAACTCGCTGACCTCCACAAAAGATGTCGGGTAGTGTTGGCCGCCGATCAGCTCCGTCTTCGAGGCCAGGCCCACTAGTTTGTTTTCCCCGCAAAGGAGAGGTCCACCGTTGTCAACTGAAAAGGCAGATAATGCTCGCATGTGAGAAGTCATTTGGGCATCCTGACAAAGCATTAGGCGTTGCCAATGTGACAACAACAGACTGCATTCGGTAAAAGATATCTGGTGATGTACTCTCAGTAAAATTTCTTACAATTACGGTTAATTGCGGAAAATTGCATCAATTCTGCAAGATTTTTGCGTACGGCGTTGGCTTCCATCACTTGGAGATCATTGACTACATTGGCCAAATTTTCTTAGAACGCAATGCACATGGTTTGAAATAATCTAGCATACCGCAAAAATGGCGATGCCCCAAGGAGAGGGTGGCCCAAACACACTTGGTCATTTCTTCGAACAGAAGTCGCTTGAATAACCAACCTTCCTTGTGAGGAAATAAACATGCACGAAAGGGTTCAATGCAATGCGCAAATCATGTAGCTAGAATGTAAGTCACCAGATAATTCATCATGTATATCATATAATTTGAAGGCAGACAAAGCATTGGAAGAACGAATGAATGGAGAAACAATTTACGGAATGATGTTGGAACCACGTGAATCCAAGCTGCGGTCACTGGAAAGAAGTGACATTAAAGCCACAGGAAACATACACGACGAATCCGGCCGGTTTTACATTTGCTTAGGCTTCCAATGCAGGAACTCGTATCGCTTGGAAACTATAGAATACAAGACAAAACTGTGCACAATGGGAAACGCATTGCCAGTGCATTAGTAAAAAAACAGGCCAGATGACACAGTCCTGACACGGTGTGCTCAAATCCAACTGTGTACTTTCGGCAAATGTGGTCCCAAAAGTACACAGTTGGATTTTGAGCAGACCGTGTCAGGACTGCATCATCTGGCCTGTTTTTTCCTAGTGGTGGTCATGTGCGGCATCTGATTTCCGTCACCACTCACACACTGGATTTCCGGTTCCGCTGTTCCCGCAGCACACAGATCCTTCATGCAGCCCCTTGAGAACCTCCGCGCACTGGCCATGTTCCACGACCTTCATGTTGGGCACACAGCTCAGCGTGGTCTCTGGGGCCCCTCCCCGTCGCGATATGAACCATCCGACGAAGCTGAGGGGACCATTTCTGCAGCCGCTCATTGACGACCATGTTTCCAGGGGCGAGTTGTGGGAATTCTGCGACAGCTGAAGCAGCGCCAAATCCGGCCCAGACGTTGCGGCACCGTTGAAGCGGGGGTGCACGATGATCTTTTGGGTGTCCAGGATCTGCAGAGGAAAATTGAATAATGATGCTCACAAAGTTTTCCAGCAGAAACAATTTTCTAAAGTCAATGTAAAACAACAAACTTATGTTATTTTAAATCGCGGCGCAATGAACATCAGTATAACAGACAAATTGAATGCAGCGAAATTATATGGAAATCAGATGATATGTAGTCGTACATGTAAATTACTGAAGAAGAAAAGGAGACGTATCATGTAATAAAAAATTGATACTCTAAAAGCTTCAAATCAGCACCAATTCGAAGTTTGTGACATCATGCGATTTTGGGACAAGACGGGTAAACCACAAAAGACGATGCTTATGCACTACCGCAGAGCTCTCGTGCGTATTTCCAAACTGAAATTTCACAATTGAAATTACATGAGGCGAGCCAAGCGTAGCTCTGGGTCATCGAGCCTGGCAATGGCAAGTTGACTGAATTCTCCCGTCTCCAAAGCGCACGACGCCAACATCATTTCTTCATCATGTCGACCAAAATGTCAGATATTATATTTACGATAATGAAATTTGAGTTATCGCATTTTCTGAAACATAGCATTCATCATCATGCGCATTGCGCATGGTGATGAAGTTTATGATCCTATCGTTGCGCATTGCACAACGCTGAGATCCGCTGCAGTACAACAGCGGTATAACAATGCGGAGACAGTTCAGCAGTAGAGATCATTTACTACGCCAATTACTTTAACCTTCACCTTATGTCCGTTGTAAAAAATCGCGTGCCAGTGGTGCTAATAAAACGAAACATGAAGAGCTCGGCAATATGGAAAGCTAGGCAAATGTAGGAATCGCCGTGAAATGCTGGTGGAAATAATTACCAAACATTTTTATCGGGGATCAATTGGGCGAGGACCAATCGGCCAAGATCGGCCAGTCTACGCCTTTTCTTCGTTTCCCAACATCGACTTGTTGATGGCTCCAGCCACCCCTCACCTCTGGCTTGTCTCCACCCTCTCCGTTTATGTCGTTAGTTCCTATAATGACCTTAGGATGCGCACCGCTCTGCAGCTGATGCAATCCCGTCGCGGTGGTCATGACGAGGTCAGGCTTCACAAGGACGCCGGAGCAGAGGTGGTTCTGCGTCAGAGGGTCAGCGACGTTGACCATCCACCGGAAGTTCTTCGAGCATTTTTTGCTTATCTGCAACAGCGGAGGTCCATGAGTGATTTTCCTTAGAAAATGTTCCAGTGAAAGCAGGAATCACATTTGATCGATTTTCAAATCGACAAATCGTTGACTCGTTTACGGTGGAATTCGCGTCTCCCAATTATCAGCCGCTGGTTATCAGTTGGTGATTCCAAACTTGAGTCCGACCATGCCATTTCTAATTTATGAAATCCGAAATGACATTTGCGACTTTACCGACTTTATTATCAGAAACAAAGTGTATCCGACATGTGGCACAGCATCAGATGAATCTTTCTCACCTTGAACGGGGTCGTTGTTCCGTGTACATCTAACGAAACACAAAAGGACGTCGGTTTGCGCTGGCATAACATGCATTTCAGGGCAAATTTAATTAGCAGTACACGAGATTCAACAACGCTGTTGATGGCATTGCTCAGCACCGATGCTTAACATAATCAATTGTGTCACTGCATGAACATAAAATGAGTAACGTAATTGATTACTTTTGAATACGTGGTTGGGCTCAAGCGAATCCGAGCTTTTCAATATTAGCAAACGTCGTGCTTAAATCTCAGACCTCCGTAGCCTCCAATCTGGACACTGTTTCGTCGGTTACGTCTTGGAATACGTAATTCAAACTCTGAGAGAATTCTAGCGGTTTGCGTGCTACCCTGCTGGCGGTTGACGTGTGGCACGCAGCCCAATTTTTCTGCCAAAGCTGGATATATATTATTTTACGTACCCATTTTTGAAATGTAGGGAACACACTTTGGCATAATAATTGCGACTGCACTATTTGCGAGATCGGAACTTGGGCAACAAAGGACTACGATTAGTTCCCCGCATCCAGCCCCTCCCCCACCAACTCGTGCAATCCCTTCCACCATGGCCACCAAGCGAACCACGCCTACGCACACCACAATTCGGCGAGTACACAACACCAAGAAGAACAGCCACAAATCCGCCGAACAGGAATACATTGGCACCGTGGTGATTCTCAAAGCAAATTTCTGAGACTTCAGACCCCATTCCGATTTGGTTTTTGATCTTAGCAACCCACTAAAAGAGGCGATGCTTTTGGCAGAATCGGAACCGCAGAATCGCAGAACCATAGAAGCAGCGAGAACCAATCGGAACTCCACAGAACCAGTCGGGTGCCCCGGCAGCCCTGCTGGTCTTCCGTCACACATTCGGCAGCCCGCCAAATCATTAGCTACGTCTGTCCCACTGCCTTTGGCAGCACCTCTCCTTCCCTTTCAGTCATTGTGGCGTGTGCGGCGTAGTACCGGCTACACGCAACAAGCTTGTTAAGCCCTCTCAAGAGGGGCATCGTCTGGTTTCGAACCAGGCTAATCGTGGGAAAGGGACCAGCTTCGATATTCCTTCGATCCGTCTTCAATACACCTTCGATCAGACTTAGGGCGTAAACACTTTCCATTTATGGCTGTTTACGCATAAGAAATGTCTTTTATCGTTTCTACGCGCAAATAGCGGTAAAATGGTAAAAAAATAGGCCCTGTGTAAATAAAGACAGTACATACAGGCTCAGGGAGTCCGGGCAGTACCAGCTGGGTGCGATGAAGTGTGCATAAAACGATTTTCTGATCGGCCTCGTCGTTGTCCTTCCTGAGGACGAGGTGTGCGCTGTTTTGCTGGTGCCGGAGAGAGTGGAGGATTGATCGTTGATTGGGGGACATCATCATGTAATATGGGCGTATCTACAAGATGTAAATATGTGCAAATATGGCAGTTTCTCTATTTGCGCATATTTTTGCGTAAAACTGTGAAGGTAAAAACGGAGGCGTAAATGTGAATAATAGGTCTGCCCTCGATATCCCCTCGATGCCACTTGACACCCCTTTCATATCCTTCCGATACCCCTTCGACATCCCTTCGACACCCCTTCGACATCCCTTCGACATCCCTTCGATATCCCTTCAGCATCCCTTCGATACCCCTTCGACATCCCTTCGATATCCCCTTGACATCCCTTCGATATCCCTTCGACACCCCTTCGGTGTCCCTTCGACATCCCTTCGATATCTTGAATCTTGTTGCTTCAACGTGCTAGGAACGGTCATGGCGTCCGCATGTCATTGAAGGTGGCGCCAAGAAATCCGCGGCAGCTAAGGGCCAGTCAAAACACCGTGAAAACTGAGGTGAATGGGGGCATCGGGGCCAAGTTGATGCAAAGAAAGAACCAGATACCCCCCACAAACACACAGAGGATGAGGCTGCTTCTCGGGGCGGGGGCGGGGGGAGGGGGAACTTGAGCTGGGGGAAGTACCAAGCACCTCTCCTTGACGCCAAATACGCACTTGTCCTTGATACTGGAACGGCGCCCGTTGAGGGGTTTTGCGTGAAGTGGGGGCGACACTTGGCCCATGATGTGCCTGGCTGATTGGAGCAGGACACGCTGCCGCCAGCAACGCATTTTGGCCCTTCCGTGCGGACCCCATTTTGGCGTTTCTACTGCAACGGCGCCCATAGTGAGGTTTGGACAAAGCGGCAGAAACTTTTGGTAAGGGAAGGCGGGGCGGTTGCCCCGGGAAGGTACCTGGCTCATCGAGGCAGCACACGCTGCCGTCCGCCAGCGTCGGCCCCTGAGCTGCCAGCAGCGCCATCACGAGCACCGCGAGGATCCTCACCGCGCCCATCGCTGATCGGACCGTCGAGGATGTCCTCAGCGCCACTGCCTCCCCGCCCATGGCTGGTTTGTGGCCGGAGATGCCGGCGATGGATGGGAGGCTGGGGCGCGCCGCACGATGCAAAGGTGCGGTGTGAGAGGTTTCCAAACCAAAGATCGACAAGGGAGACGCTGGGACTGACGGGAAAGGGGGGGGGAGAACTTGACCTGGGTGGGGCTTGTGAAGGTTGTGTCTCAAGGGGTGGCTGTGTGGCTGGTGTACTTATGCGTGGCTGGGGGGCGGAAGCTGGGGGCGCCTGAATCTGGATTAGAAGGAGCTTGCGCGGCGAGGTCCGCTTCGCTGCGGCTACCCTGTGCTGGGCGGCAGCGGCAGAGGGGGGAGGTGGGGAAAGGGTGGTCCGGGGTGCACGAGCCAGGCCACACACAGGCGGGAACCCTGTTCGCTGATTTCTAAGCTGTTCGGATTCTAAGTGATGATTGGCTTTTCGGCGGACGGGCAGGGGACGGTGGGGTGTGGGGGCCTTGTCGTGGGATGGAAGATGGATCCGCACCCGTGTTCCCGTGGGCTTCCAGGGAGAAGGGCGGGGGGGCTTGGCTTCGGGCTTGAAAGCCGAGGAAAGGGGTGGCTGGTGGGAAGGGGGCAGGGGGGAAGGGGGGGAAGGACCAGCCAGGTCCTTCCTCAAGTGGGCGTACTTTCCACCACTACTTCGGCAGGCAGCGGCGGAACGCTGGCGGGTGGGGGCCGCGTCGCTGGCGCCATTTTTAGCAGTCGGGGATACCTTACTTAGGAACTACTAATCGAGACCTTATAGTGCCAGCCGTGACCTCGTACTTACCTAAGCTACTGCTGCGGAATTCAATTCCGCAGTAGTGGCTACACCAGTAGAAAACAGCTTGTTTGCGATGCCAGCTGCGATGCCATTTTGACACAAATTGATGCCATCACAGCCCCTTTTATGCCATCGCACTCACTGTGACGGCATCAATTTGTGTCAAAATGGCATCGCAGCTGGCATCGCAAACATGGCGTTTTCTACCAGCGCTACTGAGCAGGGCTCTCGGCGAAAAGGCATGTGCCTCTGCGCATAGGAAGACATATGCTCTCACGGTGGGGTGGGGTGGGGTGGGGTGGGGTGGGGGCTTCAGTAGAATTGCGTTGGGTTGGATGCCCATCCCCATTTGGGCGCGTCTGGGCGGATGCCGCCTCTAAACAATGGCGACAGCGTTTAGAGTTGAAATGCATGGTTTCTGATGTGTGGCATGTGGTGCATGAGTCACGTATGCTGTGCGTGAATCATTATGATATACTTCCTCCGTCCCATATTAAATGTCCTCTATGGCTTCGACACATCACCTTTCCACCTAAAATTTGTTCTTTTTGAAAAAAACTTTGTCCAAAGCTGCACCTACACTTTTGGAGTATACGGTCGAAATTTCAGGTCAATCCATTGAGAATTAAGGATTTTGCAGTACTTTGTAGTAAGGGTCCTCCAGCCAGAAACCCACCCGTTTTTCAACGATTCCGCGAAAAAGGTTGCCTTCGCTGTTTTGAGGAGCACGCCTTCGTGGCGGCGAAACGGAGCCGCCCGTGCAAAACTAACCATGCCGTTCGGATATAATATCGGCGTGGTGCTCGCGAGGAAGTGCGGTGATAGGAAACGCGTTCCGAAGGCCCTGATCGTGCAATTCGCCGTAGCTCACAGCTGAAATTCACTGCTGGCCTGGTGGACCGGATCTGCCTTCCGGCCACGAATTTTTGGGGCCAAGACTTTTCGCCCTCTGTTGGTGCCATCAAGACAACAGAGGGTGACTCCAAATCCCCTTGACAAGTTGACAGACAAGGTAAAGCGCAACACCGCATTCAGTGGCAGCCGATTGTGGAAATTGTTGTTGACACCAGATTTGCGAAATTGGCTTTTCTGTGGAATTTCAGACGGCTAGGTACAAAGAGGACGGTCAGGTGGCAGACATCGTGTCTCTTTCGGAAGGGCAGACGAGATATGTGGTGATGGATTGTGGACCGCACAAAAGAGGGGGGTGCTAGTGGCAATTCATGGATCGTAGGCCAAGCTGCGCGTGAAGGCCTTGATTCAATGATCCATCATGATGCCTTGATCAAGGCAAGTTGTCCACGCAAAGCCACCCAAATACCTTGGAGCAGTACGGCGCACATAGCCTAGGCTTAAACGTCCTTGATTTTGGCTTATTCCGCTCGTTGCAGGTCCTTGCATCTCGGATCTAGGGTCGCAGCGATTTCTGGCATCGTCGACGTTGTGACGATGGCCTTCTGCCACGACGATCCAAATACCGTCAGCCGCGTTTGACCAGTGCTATTCCACGCAAGGGATATCGCCCTTCACCGTGGCAGTGGATGCCCGGGACGGGAGCGACCCAGAAACGTGCGGATCTCCAGCGGAAGCGAAATCGGCGGGCACAGTTTTTTTCGAATCTAAGGGCCATTTCGAGGGTGCCCTTCAAGGGGTGGGACCGACCTTTCTTCCTTGAAAATTGGTAGTTAGGGGTTTTGGGACCCAGTCTTTCTGATTCTGACCTTGTTTCGTACTTTTAAAGCATTTCTTGTAACGAATTTTGCCTTTCAAATAGAGGACATTTAATATGGGACGGAGGAAGTAGTAAGTATTGCTTGGGATAGGGATACAAGGCTTAGTACATTGTGGTGCACGTTACACGGCTTCTTGTTGAAAGCGAGTACATGATACACAA